TTATATTACCCACATTGCTGTTGTGTGGTGTTAAAGGGGCACTGAGACCTTACATGTTCTTACAATTTTTTTTTTTTTTCATATTCAAGACAAGAGACTATCTTCCATCATCAGAGCTGCTTGGTTACTGACCTGGCAAAGTCATTCTTAAGGACTCGCATGAGGATGATGATGACGAAGCCCAGCAGCAGCACCACCAGCACTAGCGAGTTAATGATGGACAGCCAGTGGATCTCCAGCGTTTTGGGGAAGAATGAGTAGTCTCGGAGACGCTCAGCTCTCCGGGCGTGAGAAAGAGTGGACTCAAACCAGCGCACACTGTAGGTGTGGGTGACGGTCAGGCTTCCTCCGCCCACCCCGACTCCGCCCACCGCCGCCCCCGCCCCATCCTCCAGGGGAACAGGCTTGACGTCCTTCACTGAGACATTGGCAAAGATCACAGAGTTGCCGTTGTACTCGATGTTGAAATCTAGATGAGTCCACAATGCCACCTGATAGGACAAAAGAGATACAGAGGGAGAAAAGACCAGAGAGACAGGACGAGGTTGGAGATGAGACTGATTACAAGTGGAGTGTGGGTTAGCAGAAACAGGAACTTTGGATGAAACCACTCACATTTGCACAGTCTCTCTATTTACCTTATGGCTGTGCGGCAGGAAGCCACTCTCCTCTATGTACCCCACAAACCCCCAGATTGGAATATCATCTAGGACAAATTCAAAGTAGTACAGCTCCTCGATGGCCTCGCGAAGCTCATCCACCTGACACACACACACAAAACGCACAATCACATGCCACGTGTTTTAAACCGCACTACAGCTTCCAGTACAAGGAGAATTTTAATGATTTGCTTATGTGGACTACTTGAGGAAAGACTATAAAAGAATTTATTTTATCACTGTGCTTGCTGCTGTTGTTGTTGTGGGCCGAACACAATGATCCATCTGTGATGAACGTGCTCTGCTACATCAGCCTTTGTCAACAGAATCAAAGGTTTGGCATACAAAGGTGCTCGGGTGTGAGAATAAACACTATTAAGCATTACATCCAACTGCCGATTTCATGTTTTCAAAGTAACAAAGGACTGAAGCCTAGTATGAGTTCGACAAGAAAAGCTAGCAAAGTCAAAGTACTTCAACTTGCTAAACAAGAGTTTCAGTTTTATCATGTTATGGAACTTCAGCATTTGCATTTTTTTGCTGGTTATAAATATCACACCTCCTTACAAAGTTTGATCTTGCAGGATTCTAAAAAAAAGAGGTAAAATAAAAATAATTAAGTGTTTTAACTATCCTTGTAAATACCTGCTTCTCTGACAGAGTGAGGTGACAAAGAGTTTTTTTCTCCACGTTCTCTCTGAACCGGATGTGATATAAAGACTCCGCCATTCTGTCGCCATCCAGCACCTCTCCCAGGCTCAGGGACTTGTGGTGAACCTGATGAAGACAATGTGATTTATGTGTTATTTTGAAATGATACAAGGCATTAATTAGTCAGAATTATGTGTGCAAATGATTTCAGAACAGCACATTATGTCTAGATAGTTACAGTGGACTAACTGAACACATAAATACAGCTGACCGTTCACCATATCCTTCAAAGGAGAGGAATAAGTTACTACTGTAATAACTTTGGGTCACCTGCCACTACTACAATGACACATCCAATAATGACTTTTCCTTAAACCTATGTCATGAATTACAGCTTCAACAGAGGGGAAAAAACTTGTTATCTTTTGTTGGCAGGTGTAATCTCTCAACAGCAAAACACAAACAGCAAATATGTGAATGAATAAGTACTACAAAATTAAAATTTCCTAGTTACTACAGTGTTATTTCTGGGTATGTTTAAGTTTAGTACAGTGTCCAAAGTCCATTTTAACATATTTTCCCAGTCTATCACTCATTAGTTAGGTCACTAAATAAATTCTTAAAATAAAATCTCTCTGTATGCTGCATCATGATCACATGAAAACATATGGACGACAGAAAAAGAAATTTTACTGAACCTTTTACGTTTTAGATAAAAGCTTTTTATGAGAAATGTTATGACTTAGATGTCACCATTAAAGCACCATCAGCGTCTACGTTTAGGATGACAAAACACTCTACAGTTCCTTTGTGTGTTACAGCAGTGACACAGAACCAAGACTGACCTTCTCTGGCCTGCAAACAGGCAAAGTGTAGTAGTGATATGTCTCCTGGGGGTTATGATAAGGGCCCACTTTGTTGACATAAAGAGTTACATTGTCCAATTGCTTGTAGCCCACTGCCCAGCCTGAGAACAAGCACAGGATCAAGACAGAGTGCAGCGCCATCATCCTCTGACAGCCACCTGGCAGGTGTCCTGTTACGCAATGCATTGCCCCTGTTGCAAAAAAGACAGTTCATCAGTTCATACTGGACAGGTTTGGTTTAAACATGTCAAGAATGTAGATCACTTCTATGCAGTGTAGAGATATGTATTTAGGTATGTGATGATTCAAATGGCTGCAGGGTGGCGCAGTTGGTCGCACTGTTGCCTCGCAGCAAGAAGGTTGCCGGTTCGCGTCCTGGTGGGGTCACCGGAATCTTTCTGCGTGGAGTTTGCATGTTCTCCTCGTGCAGCGTGGGTTCTCTCCGGGTTCTCCGGCTTCCTCCCACACAGTCCAAAAACATGTTGAGGTTAATTGGTGATTCTAAATTGTCCGTAGGTGTGAATGTGAGTGTGCTTGGTTGTCTGTCTCTAAGTGTGGCCCTGTGATAGACTGGTGATCTGTCCAGGGCGTCCCCTGCCTTCGCCCTAAGTCAGCTGGGATAGGCTCCAGCCCCCCCGCGACCCTAGTGAGTATTAAGCGGCGTATAGATAATGGATGGATGGATGGATGATTCAAATGTCAGGAGGTTTACTTGCAGAATTGTCTGCAGTGTCTCTCCTACAACATTTTGCAAAAGCAGCACACAATTGTAAAATACTCCAACAAAACTGTGTGTAACCACCACAATGCATTTCATCAGTTTCACCAGTCCATAGGGGCTTCTTTTGACTGGAATTAAACAAGTTCTGTCAGTTTTTATCTGTCTGGTACGAGTTTGCGAGAGCGGAAAATAAGTAACATGCTCTGGCAGGCCGCTATAGTTGTTCAAGTCAGGTTTTTATACAGCCACCATTTCTACAGAATCTGTCTGTAATGTTGTTGTTGGTTTCAAAATGCATTTGAAAAACATTTTGTACAAAGTGCAGCCTGCTAATGTGCAAAACACCACATTTTTGCAAGAGAAATAATGATGCAAGGATAAAATCTGATGCTACAGCATATTTTTTTTTCTTTTTCTCCTCTAGGAAAGCCCTGCAGTAGCAGCGTGTAGGTAAACAAATGAGCCACTCTGCTATGCTTTGCAATTTTGTATCTTTTAAACCTTTTGTTGTCCTCAACCTTGGCAAAGACACATCTGTTGTCTTAATGAACAGAACAGGTGTCATCACTTTTTTGGGGAGGATATAGAAAAAGTAATCTAAAAGGCTGATCCACAGTCAGCACTAATATAGTATTTCTGGTCACAGCAATATGCATTTTCCAGTAGTGATGAAGTTGTAATGCACTTAACATTAAATGATAAATTATCTTCTATGTTAAACTGCATCCTATTTTGACTCTTCAGAGTAGCATCACAGCTGCAGGTCTCCTTAACTTTTTACTTTTTTGATAAGACCAGGTTTTTAAATAGGTTCAGTTACATCGATTAACAACAGCAACAAGCCGAGGACTACAGCCAGAGCAGCCATGCTTTAGAGAACCCTCCATACATGTAATCATAATTACTACATTTACTATTGTACAGCAATAAGAGTAAGGTCAAGCACAGAGCACATCCTATTAGAGTTGGTGTTTCAGTGGAAAGAAACGTGACTAATAAGGAGGCCTCACTCTGTACACACCACACTGCTCATACTGTCTACACAATGTATACACCCTGCAACTCTCATTCATCCCCATTTATATTTTTTATTCATATACCACAGTACTACAGCTTATCCTGCTCTTGAAGCTATTCAACTCAGACATTTTACCATACACAACACTTTTACTGTTTCTTCTGCACTTCTGCCTAATGCTGAACTGCATTTCGTAGTCTTAGAACCTGACCTCTGTACACTGACAGTAAAGTTGGATCTAATCCAATCGAATCTAATCTTATTCACTCTAATTTACTCTAATGTAATTCATGATGCAAAACAACTGATCTCCATCCAATCTACTTTATTCCAAAGTGGCACATTCCCCTTTGAAGCCTGGACTTACAAAGACAGCAAATGACTACAGACAAGAAGTTAGCGAAATCTGCTTTACCAGTCTCACTGTCACTTAAGTCCCGATGCTGCAGATCCAACAAAACCTGTCCGCCGGATTCCTTGGACTCCAGGCCCCGACAGTCTCTCTCTCTCTCTCTCTCTCTCTCTCTCTCTCTCTTTCTCTCTTTCGCTTTGCTCCGCTTTGCGCCGATAGTGGAGCTCAGTGTGAAGATTTCACGTTACAGCTAAACATCTTGGAAATCCTCGATGCAGTGTCTCACACTATTATGTATTCACTGCGTTCATACCCGGGTACACCAAGTCCTTTTATTCACACATGAGGCAGTGTGGAAGAAGGACTCGACTCCACGTCACCTTAAAAATAAAAATAACGACGACTCGGTGGAGTTTTCCGGAGTGGGCGGAGAAACAAACGCACACCTGCAGGCTTACCGGTTATTCACAGCCGGTAATATCCCCCCTCAGGAGCAGTGTGAAACGCAGGTAGTTCATTTAACGCCTCCAAAAAACACAGTTTAAACGGTTAAGAGCCGCAGCTCAGCGACTCTGTTATTTTTCTGTATTGACCGGATTTCCTTCAACCTCACTGAACCAATCGAATGCCCTTGCGGGATTTCCGTGTTAGAATCCAGGCCGGTTTAATCAAACCGGCACTATCAATGTGCAGGTTCTCAGCGGCTGCGAGGATGCCGCGCTCGATCGATTGATAGGTAATGTCTGCCATTTGATTTCCCGCGAAACGGACGCAGTTCCTCGCGCTCGAGACGCCGGAGAAAGTGCACGAAACAGAGTGTTCCAGCTAACGGGTGAGTCTGTTGCGAACAATAAAGCTGTTTAACCTGAATTAACTCTGAACGTTAGAGGTGTGAGTAGTCGCAGTTAGCCAAGAATACTTTTGTTATGATTTAAACTAGCATTGGTTATGTTTTAGCTAGCCTCATTCTGTCGTCTTTTTACCGCTACGTGTCTGCGGCACAGTTAGCAACATGCCAGGACACATTCCTGCCTTTCAGATGCCTATAATAAAGTCGTTTAACGTGATATTGAATACTTGTTCATGCACAGATCTCCCACACTCACTACCTCACCTAGTAGGAGGTAGTCATGTAACCGGCGACACTGTAAATAGCACGTATGTAAACAAACTATACTTGTCCTGCATTGTTTCTGAACATTTCAGCAGCGTGGAGGGAGCTTAAGCCCTGTATTATAGCAAGTGTTTAGGCCTATGGGAAATGTAGTCAGGATGGATGTGTCAATAGAAATCATTAGCATGATTTTAATGGTGTTTTTTTTCAGATTTCCTACCATAATGGGAATACACGGACTTGCCAAGCTGATTGCTGATCAGGCCCCTGGTGCCATTAAAGAGCAAGACATCAAGAACTACTTTGGTAACTATCACAGGTTAATTTTCCTGCGAATCAATGATGTGAACCACACAGCAAATGAGATTGGTGTTGCCACATAAGGTGTTATGAGGATAAGACAGAGATTGAATTGAGTAAAATACAACAGTTTGTCACCATACTGTAGATGCTGAAATACAGGCATCAACACAAATATGTGCAATAAGCAAGACAGAAAAAGTATCTTGTAAAATTATAAATGCAAAAAAAAAAGACAAACAGGGCTACAATTTTGCAAGATCATTTGGTAAAATAAAGAAATATATAAATTACTTATAGAAATCCTGTCACATATGACAACAACTTCAATTCAACTTCAACAGCTTCAACAACTACAATTTCCTTTGTATGGCTTGCAGTTTTTTCTTAAAAATGTTAATCAAGTTGAAACATTTGATGCATAGAGAGGTTATTCCAAAGCTTTTAAGATGACATAGCAAAGACACAATCTCTCTTATCCACCAGGTTTGATCATGCCACACTTATTAACAGCTGTTCTGAGGATCTAAGAGGCCTTTTGATAAACTTGGGGCAGGAAAGTTCAGAAATTTTGGACATGGATGATATATTGTAATAGGGTCACTACTTGCATGAAAAGGTAAAGCCATAGCAGAATGGAGTTCTACCTCATTTATTTAGCCGATTGAGGCTGAAACCAAAATGCTGTAACTTACAGTTTATCATTGTAGTGTAAGAACAATTTCAAATGGAGAATTCAAAGCTTGCTTTCTTTCTGTTTTCGTAAAGACCAAATAAAGGGGCTTTTTGCACAGACAATTTCTTCTTTTTTCTAATGCGGGTCTGAATCTATGGAGTGATAAATTCAACAGTTAAAAAGCCACAGCCAGTAAAGAAACAACAAATCTTATCATTTTCCTTTCCCTTATAAAACACTATTTTGCTAATGCGGTCGTTAACTTTTGCAGGCAGGAAAATTGCTATAGATGCCTCCATGTGCATCTACCAGTTTCTAATTGCTGTGCGTCAGGATGGTAACGTTCTGCAGAATGAAGATGGAGAGACGACAAGGTAAACAACCTAAAACTTAGACCAAGAAAGCATATTTATAGACACATTATAGGCACAGTAGTAGCAATAGTACATCGATCCTCAGTCTGGGCACAATAATGAAATGATTTTCCTTTGCTGTTGTTCACAGCCACCTAATGGGAATGTTCTACCGGACAATCCGCATGTTGGAACATGGCATCAAACCTGTGTACGTGTTTGATGGCAAACCCCCACAGCTCAAGTCAGCAGAGGTTAGTGTGGCCTCTGATTTCGTCTGATGCTTCCCTTCTGGATGCTCTCTGTGAAGATGTGGTAATCACACAAATCCTCTGTATGTATTTTATTTGATGTCCGGTATTGCAGTGGTTCACGCTTCATCTCCTCACCTTCTTCACTCGCCTGCAGCGTGGCACCTTACTTCCTGTCTCTTATTTACATTTCGCTCTTACTCTGTTCTTGCGCTCATCTTCCAGCTTGAGAAAAGAGGAGAGAGGAGAGCAGAAGCTGAGAAGATGCTCGCTCAAGCCCAAGAAATGGGTACAAAAGTGTATTTATTTATTTATTTGCCACAGAGGTCAAAATCAGAATGTCTTGTTTGAGGTTGCTGATCTGTATTGTTTTGGAGTCAAGCTAATGATGAGTTCTTTGTTTGATTTGAAAGCACTTTTACAATACGTTTTAAATAGAGGTTGTGAGCACAGTTTATGTGGAGAAAAAATATTACATATTGTACACATATATAACATAGCATATATATAACATATATTTTTTGTCTCACACCAGGGGAACAAGAGAATATTGACAAATTCACCAAGCGTCTGGTTAAAGTCACCAGGCAACATAATGACGAGTGCAAGAAGCTGCTGACCATGATGGGGGTGCCTTACATCGAGGTGAGATCAAGACTTGCTGTGTTTTGCTTCTTTCCAGAGTATTCCTTTTACTGCTCTTACTTTTCTAGTTCCCAGTTACTTTCTCAGTGTGTAACTTGACTTTAAAGACCTAGAAAGACTGAAAATATAACAATGAAACATAAACTGCGAATGTTGGTCTTAAGACAATGTTCGCTCTTATACAGTTAATAAACAGTGATATTCTCCCTATTTTAAAAAACGGTTCTGTTGTTTGCTTGGCAACTACAATATTTAAATACACGCAACAGAATGGATCAGGTTGAATAATTCTGTGTAACTCAGTGTTTTTTGTGTTGCAGGCTCCGTGTGAGGCCGAGGCCAGCTGTGCTGCTCTGGTTAAAGCAGGGAAGGTCTTTGCCACAGCAACAGAGGATATGGACGGTTTGACCTTTGGAACAAATGTTCTGCTTCGACATCTCACTGCCAGTGAAGCAAAGTATGAACCTGCAGCACTGATATCCACTTTTAGGCTGTGCTATAAAGATATTTGCAGAAATGATCTGATGTTTATGTGTTTTTTCTCCAGTTTGTGGTGTACCTTATTAATAAATCTTGTTTTTGTACTTGATGATGATAGAATGCATTCAGCAATATTCTGTTAATGATGACAGTGTTGGATTGTCTTAACAGCTCAGTTTGATTTAGGAGAAATTAGGATTCAATACACTAGATGCTACAAGTACCACAGTAGTTCTTTCTAACTGCTGTGGTAGCAAAAGTTGAATGGAACGACTTTAGTAATGACGATGTTGTTTGTCTCAGTAGGAACCTAATTTATTGTGACTGGTTTGGATTATTTTGTGTATTTAGGATCTCAACAAGTCAGTGCACCTGCTGTTAACACAAATAGAATAGTTACTGAATTGAATAGCAGTGTATTCCTTTGTGAACTTAAAGATTAAAGGGATTTATTTTTGTGTCAGGAAGCTTGCGATTCAAGAGTTCCACTTTAGTCGCATCCTGCAGGACATCGGCCTCACCAATGAACAGGTAAAGTTGTTTTCCTGGCTTTGGGAAAGGTGAAACATGTTATATAACCACTTTTTTTTTTTTTTTTTACTGAGATGAAATTTCAAAAAGAACTTCCCCTGCTTTGATTCTGCTGACACTGCACTCTGCAGACTGTTTCCCAGTGTGTATCGCCATGCTGTGCTAATTATTTGCAGAAATGTGGTGTTATTTTCTGTAGCTGTGGAGCTACAGTTGAACAAGGTGCATGTCCTTCCTGTTCTTCCTTCCAGTTCATAGACTTGTGCATTCTTCTTGGTTGTGATTACTGCGGCACCATCAAGGGGATCGGCCCGAAGAGAGCCATCGATCTGATCAGACAGCATGGGAGCATCGAGGAGATCCTTGACAATATTGACGGCAATGTAAGTTCCATGTTGGTTACAGTCCTGTCCTGTGCTTAAACCAGTCAAACAGGTTACAGGTTCTGATTTTGTGGGTGTCTTGCTTGATGTCATGCAGAAACACCCCGCTCCAGAGGACTGGCTGTACAAAGAAGCCAGGGGTTTGTTTTTGAAGCCAGAAGTGGTGGATTGCTCCTCAGTGGACCTGAAGTGGACCGAGCCGGATGAGGAGGGACTGATTCAGTTCATGTGTACTGAGAAACAGTTCAGGTGAATGAAATCTAGACTCTCTGATTGTAAAATATTTGACCACTAGGCTACACTGTTGGCCAAGTAGACAAAGAGTTCATGTTACTGACATCACTTGAGCAGGCTTTAAAATATCATGTTTACTGCAGATTGTATTCCAGAGTTTGTTCACAATCTCCCATTTGGCTTAGACACCTGTTTATTTACGCTTGTTATTTTTGTGCTTGTGAAATACTTTAATAAATGGGCTGATAAAAAATAACACTGTACACAGAGTATAAAGTGCAACTTTCAAAAAAAAAAGTGATCCATTTATTTGTGTGTGTGCAGTGAGGACAGGATTCGTAACGGCTGTAAGAAGATTGTGAAGAGCCGACAGGGCAGCACACAGGGACGACTGGACTCCTTCTTCTCCGTCACCGGATCGTTGTCCTCCAAACGGAAGGTACATTTAGGAAAACTGCATGGCCACCTGCAGTTATAGTCAGAACTGTTCATACACTCGTCATGAACATGAATGTCTTGGAAACATTGGACTTGAGCTGCTGTATGGGATGCATCTTGAGTAAAAAAGAAAAGGAGTAACTTGCAGCAGAAAATATAATCATGAATTCAATATAAAATTAACAGAGATCAGTCAAAATTATATGTACAGGGTCCAAAATGTACTAAAATGTATGTACAGTCGTGACTTGATAGTCCGACCGGTTTTTGGGAAAAACGAACGGAACCCATTAAAAATACCCTTAACATACAGACAGCCTTGGATTCTGACGGGCTATGTACAAACTGCAGGACTTAATGCTCAATTCAGATTTTTTTGCGAGTTCGTTCACATTTCCAATTACATGCGACTTGTATGTGATCTGCTGTGTGAACTTCATACGACCCAAAAGTGTCCCGCATGCGCAGAAGAGGACACGATGACGTCACACACAGTGAACCTGCTCAGTGTTTAGGTAAGTAAACACGGATGGTAATGGTGGAGTGTAACTGCCACTCCTCCGCTGCTACCACCAATGGTGGAAACAGAACTGTGACCACTATCCTAAACTGGCATCAGCAACGAAGTACTACCTCTGCATTCCGGCCACTTCCACCCCATTGGAGCACACCCCTAGGGTGGAAGTGCCCCCCCGACCGTGCCAAATATTCAGAAAGTCATCATTAATTGGATCTGTGTTGTTCAGACTGTCATGAAAAGACAGGTCGCATTGGAGGAAAAGAAAATTGGATTTAGGTCACTTCAGCCTGCTGTCTGAATGTATTTATCTTTAATGTCAACTGACGGGCCCATGCACAAGCGCACCGGTCAATTAGCTGTAAAATCCAGCAATGCATAGTGTTCTAACAATACACTAGTTATTATAGCAACTATAAACAATACATATTAACAACAAATTACCCTTCAAGCATCAAGCCCTCCTTGTATCTTGACCTCTGTCTTTACAATCTGACAGCCTTGCTGTCCGACATAAAAGAAGGTTTTACATTTAGTGTCGGATTATCGAATCATGACTGTACTTCTAAATGTAACTGTATGTGTTTGCACTTAATCTGTTGTTATTTAACCACCTACAGGAGTGTTTAATGCATTTCCCCATGTCTGAACCGCTATCTAGTTCTCTTTTAACCATAAAGACCAGGCTGCAAAGTTTAATTGTGCTTTAATAACAAGGAAAATGCTGTGGTGTCTCTTCAGTAATTTTCTGAACTTATCAGTCATGTCACTTTTGTTTTTCTTAGGAACCCGAGACAAAAGGATCAGCAAAGAAAAAGCAGAAGACCGGAGCCACACCGGGCAAATTTAGAAAGGGCAAATAAACTGACCACAAGACTCCTTTAATTTCTCTGAAAAGTTATTGTTACTTTAAATAACTTTTACTTTGTAAAGGCTACAACTGCAGGTGAAGCAGGAGAAAAAGGCAACACAATAGATTTTGTGCTACCAGTTGTCCAAACAGCTGTGCGTTATACACCACCAAACAAATATAAAACTAAATGTATTTTAATGAGTATCAAATAGTTTTATGAAGATGTTTCAAATAAAAATGAGAACTTTTTTTTTTTGTAGAGAAATGTGACTGTGGCATCATTTTTTGCATTAATTGAAAACTAATAACTGAACCTTCCATCATATTCACAACGTACAAGTGTTTTAAAGAACCAGTAATTTCATAATATAGAAAAACCTTTATGTGTAGGACAAAACATCTGGCTTTATTTTTGGGTTATGGATACACTCCTAAATAAAAGTGAACAGTCTATACACGCGCTGACAGTGGCCAACATTACAGTAACATTCATGATCATGATTTATGTATTCTTTAAAACCTTTGTTTTTAAAAAATACAAACACTAAGGAGTCCAGTTAGTCAGCATATTGCGTTCACTGCACAACAACTAAAATGCATGTATTGCGGCCACTACATGTTTATCTAGCTTCCCTTTAATGTCATGCTGGTCATAAGTGTGGTGAAATGAGTTGTGAAAGGTTTATTTGTGTGACCGGCTGAACCGCTGTGAGAATACGAAAAAGAAACAGTGTGACTGATAATACTGTATGTGGGATGAGAAAATGGTAACACAAGTGCACAAGGAATGTTACTTACTTGGGTCCTGCAGAATGGTCATAGCAATATACAAAAAATATTTCTCTGTCAGAAAGGGTTTATCATGATAAATCTATTAGAATTAAAAGAAATCTTTTTAAGGAACCCTTGCTTCAATTCTGTTCAATTCAGAGAAGAGACGATGCTGTGGGAACCTCTAGTAACTCAAAAGAGGCTCCAGAAGAGTTTTTTTTGTTTGTTTTTTTGTTTTATATACTTAATCTTTTTAAACTTGGTTTTATTTGTAATTGTGTACAAATTTCTTTCATCACTAACATAAAAACACAGCAAGAAATTATTATAGGTTATATGTTTTTAGCATTAAATTACGGCGTTCTTTTGAACAATATTGGAGATGTTACCAAGTGTAAGTTTTAGAGACTGGTTTTGTGTATTTGGGGAAATTGACACATGACTCATGTCACCAATTCCATCTTATTTATTACAATGAGTCCAAAATGGAACCCCAAACCCCACAAAATCATTCCTTAAAGAACCTTTCTGAGTGGGTTCCTGCACAAGCCCTTACAGTTACAACAGGGAGGAACCTCAGATGGTTCCTCGAGCCTACGTCTACATCATAGGAAGATCATCGTAAAGCAGGTGATCTGTGTGTTCTAGAAACATTTATGAGTCCAGTTAAACTACATAGACTCACTATATGTGTAGTAGGAAACTGCTGCGCTAAACTCAAATGTTTCATGAATATTGACTCATCTTAATTCAACTGTAAGATCTTCGTTTATCATGTTAATCTGAGTCAAACTAATAAATCATCTTTACAAATGCATGAAGAACAACATTTTAGGTCATAAATGGACTTCTCCTTTGTAATGTATTGTAATATTTTTACATAGTGACCAGGCCTTGTATCCTGAAGTGCTTCTGGATAATATAGGACACCTTCTCAACAATTTGTGACTTACATCAAGACTTTACTTGAAACCAGGCAATAAATGAAGTTTTCTTCTGTTTCAAACATGTGTTTCTAAACTAACAGATCACAGTTTGCTTTTGTCCGTCACATAAATCCAATACAAAAAAGCTGACCACACCCCTTTGAGATGCTATAATATCACAGAACTGCTAAAATATGAAAAATAAATAAATAAACCGGCTTGACATACTTGAACCACTCTGTCTCTGTTTCATGTTCATGCAGAAGTGAACTGTGACAGGAGAGTTAATGACTGATAGCAATCATAAGCTACAAGGAGAAGAGGATGTTCACTGTTCACGAGTTAATATTTAATTAATTGTTGCTTAATTCTGTGTGTAGGTGTGCAATTTTTTTTTTCCAAAATTATGTTTATTTGTGATTTAGGTCATTTTTACATGACATAGACAAACACTTAAAAGAACATCCTCTTAGACACAAAATGCAGGTTTACTAAATAGAACATGATGACAAATATACAGGGACACTTAATACATCAAGCAGCACCAAACAGTCTTTATGTGTTGTCTTCCTTCTGATCTTCTGTTAAGCCAATGTTTTCGGCAAAAAATATACAAGGCCTCCAAATGCTTTCAAACAAGTCCTTTTTTCCTCTCAGCAGGTATGTAATCTGTTCCAATGGAAGTGTAGCCAACATCTGTTTAACCCAATGTCCAATGCTCGGTGGGCTAATGTTTTTCCAGTGTAATGCAATCAATCTTTTTGCTTGTAGTAGACAAATATCAATAAAGAGCTGCTCATTTTTTGTAAATCTTGCGTGTTTGGGATATAAACCTAAGATTATAAAGGAAGGATCCTATGGTAAGTCTGTAGAGATAACATCTTTCACAGATTGTTTTATTGAAACCCAGAATAATGTCTTCATTTCCCTGCATTCCCAAATACAATGGAACAGTGTTCCTTTTTCTTCTCCACATTTTGTACATGTATCTGGAATACTTGGATTATATTGGTTTAATTTCACCGGAGTAACATAAACACGCACGAGCCACTTGTATTGTAATAATCTCAACCGAGAATTAATAGTTTGCTGTAGGTGTGCAATTTACAACAAAGTGGTTGAGTCGTTTTTCTTAAATACTGAATAGTATTATAAACAAGATGATCAATTACTGTTAGTTGTTATTCAAATATAAAGATGACAGTATGTCTGCATTATTGTGCTTTACTGTGTTCTACATAAAGCTGACCTGCAATTTTTTTTTCAGCCTAAAAAAACCCATCTTATTGGGGAAGTCATGTTAAGGGTTTAACTCCAACGGCCATGAAATTTGGCGAGGTATTTTCCAGTACATCAAAGTGATTAAATGACTTCAGCAAAGGCCAAATTTCAAAATATCCGCCCCTAAAAATGGAAAAAACGTGAAACATTTTTAAACAAGATTGGTTTAAGGGCTACAGAAAGTTCCTGTAAATGTGTGTGTGTGTGTGTGTGTATATATATATATATATATATATATATATAAGTGGATGGATATATATGGATATATCCATGCTTCCTACTCATAAATAAAGTCTCTTTTCAGCATTTCATCAAGTTTTGACACCTCTAACATTACTAGAATCTCATGTGTGGCAAGTATGGAAAGCCAAGGTTCTGTTTTTTTTTTCTTTTTTTTGGAAGCTTTTTTGACTTTCAAAAATGGTGATGGTCATTGTGGGACCACAAAAACTGGTGGTCTGGACTCACCACTGACAAGGAAGAAAAGGAGCAGGATGCGAGGGAAACGTTTATGCACCCAACTGCATTGATCAAGTAGCCAAACTTGACATAAAGGCCAACAGAGACATTAAAATGGGTTCTGTAAATAAATGAAATTTCCATTGAGTACATCCTTTTAGTGTAGCACTGATCCAGTTTGACTTGTCTTCTTGTAGCACTGAGCATGATGTGTTTCCACAAACATGAGACTTACTGTGACGTGTTGAATCAGCTTTTCTGTTCAGGGCTCATTTCAAGTACATTGGAACATTCTTTAAGGCAAAAGGAGCCTCATATGTTGGTAATTTTTTCACAGAAAGACAACATATAAACCTTCTGAACACCAGTTTTTGTGATCATACAAAAAGTCCATTCAAAATTACCATTTTGACATGCCATTAAAGAAAACAATTTAAGATAAGATAAGATATGCCTTTATTTATCTCACAGTGGAGAAATTCACATTGTTGATAGCAGCATTCAACAGAGGTACACATATACCAGACAGGAAAAAAATAAAAAAAATGTACATATAAATATAAGAAATAGTGCAAACAAGGAGAGTAGTGCAAACAGAATATGAAAAATGGGCTTCTGAATGGGGGGTATATAGAAAAGATATATGTATATATATATATATAAAGATAGGGATTAAATATATAATCATAGTAATAACAATAATAATAGTAATAATAATAATAATAATTTAATACTTGACTTACAATAATAGCCACACATCACATCCTACTGATGTTAGATGTCTCAAACGTTAGTAAAATGTCAACCAAAGCCACAATTTATACACTTAGAGAAGCTTTCTAGGGTCTTGAAGCCAACCTCACTTGGCAGCACTTTTTTCCATTTTCAAGGATCAGTAATTGAAAATGTTTGACCTAGGTAAGATGTTGTTTTTTGGGGGTTTTTTTTATGGTGAACATTCAAAAATCCCAATGTCTGAAAACGTATTCTAAAAAGTCACTTAAAGCATTTTACAGATCTTTTTTGGGGGGTAAAGTCTGAACAAAATCTGACATAGTGGAGAAATATATTTCCTAAATTCTGTCCAAACTGACACAGACTGGTCCAGCATTTTAGTTTTTTTGTTGTTGTTTTTTTTTTTTTAACTGTTGCATACATTTCCTGGCATTAGCTGAAATCCAGAATTGCATCAGTTTTGTTTTATATTGCAAGATCTTATTGTTTCTCCTTTTTTCTGCAAACCTGTCTGGTAGCTTTTTTCTGCTTTTACTTCTTTTTGTCCCTTTAAGCAAAAAAATTGAGATATTCTTTGATTTATGATTTGCACTGAAAAAAAGACACTGAAATATTTCATTTTAACAGTTTTCATCAATAAACAAAACCTGAAATAAACTCAAATCTGAGCTGTTTCGTAAATCTGATATAATATGTGTGAAAATGCAGGTCTAAAAATATCACTGCCTGTTTACTGAACTCTGATTGCACAAGACATTTATATCTGTGAATTCAGAGTGGAATTATGCCTGCATAACCAGGAATGCTAAAAAAAAAAGATTAACTGCACCTTAATGTTTGTAGTCGACATGATGAGTGTCAGGCAACGCGTGTGAACGGGACAGCTTAAACACTACTGAGTATCTTCCTCTTTTAGATGAGCTGGTTGCTCATGTGATTTATAGTTTGAACCTAATATAGAAAAAGACAGATAGAGCTACTTGTTACGACTGAATGCTGCAGCTGAAACTGCGTTTTTGTGTTTTATTCAGTAGCATGTTTCTTCATTGTTCACACACTTGAAATTAATATTTACATGTCTTCAAATCATTTCATTATTTTCGTGATTGAAGTAATAAATTGCAGTAAATATATAACATATTGTAAAATAAAGCGTCCATCCTATTTCTTGTAACTAATGGAAAAGTTCGCACCACACCCATTTCCTCTTCTGAGCTGCAAAGTGAGAACTGTTTGTGTTTCTCCCATATTTACTGTAAGCTGACCAGCTTCTTTGGTAAGTTTTTTTTTTTTTTTTTTTTAATTTTTTAATGGATTTCACTTCTTCGACAGTTACTTTATTATGTAAGTCTGAGTTGACTCAACTATAAAATAGATTGTTTCATGTTTTGTTTTTTGTTGTGTTTTTTTGGGCTAATGTTTTGTTTAGAAGAAGTAAGTGCAAGGACACAAAAAGTTGATTGAGACATATTTTACTTAATCTGAAACTCTATACGCTCACTGTTGTGATATTTTAAGACTATGTCTTAAATATTGTGTGCCATTATGAACAGCACTATATTAATGTGTACATTGTTAGACTGAACTTCTGTTACACATTTCAACATAGTTTGCATGTTTTTTTCCCCCCAAAAGCATCATCAAAGATTTTTTTTAGAATTTAATTTAATTTAATTTAATTTAATTTTACAGGTGATGAGCTTGATGCCAGTCCTGTCGGTGAAAATCATGACGAACAACATGTTACTGAGCCTCCTCTTTGTTGCAGGTGAGCTGTTTTATTTTCATCATTTACAGCCTGAAAGACCAGTGCAGATAGAGATACTTTACAAAGACATTTTATGCATATTTTATATTCACAGTATGTAGGTGAAAAGACCAGCAAGAAACACATGGATGCTTAAGTAATTTTTTGCATTGTAAATGTTCTCTTCATGCAGATGTTTACTATTTATCGTGATTCTGATTCTGGTTTTACAGGCGCCTTGTCTGATTGTCCCCCTGTCGCCCTCTTCATCACTGTACCAACAAACATGGAAGCACTGAGTGGATCTTGTTTGCAAATCCCCTGTAACTTTAGAGCTAGATCAGGAAAAGAACAGTTTGACAGCCGGAGAACTATGTTTGGAGTCTGGATTAAAAGTCATCCCATCTTTCACAGAAAACCAGAGAATGTGATTTTCAACAGTAGTGGGTCAGTTAACACCTATCCAATGGAAATTACTGGAAACCTGAGCCAGGGAGACTGCACCACTGTGTTCTCTAATTTAACCACCACTTATACAGAGAAATACTTCCTCAGAATTGAGAACGGGCCATTTAAGGCAACAGCTGAATGTGATCCTCTTTTCATAACAGTTAAAGGTAGGAAAGTTCATGCTGTTATTTTAACAATTTTTAACAAATCAGTTGCAGCTTTTGCCAAATTAAAAACCCCCTATCCCAAACCTCAATTGTGTAACTCTAAAGGGAGTATCAAGAGTTTTTCTGTTAGGTTTTATACTAAAAAAAAAAAAAACATAAATAATAATAATAATCTAATATTGCTTACGCTACCATATTAGTACATTAAAAGGAAAAAAAACACACATATTGGATGTTTGGACATTGCTTTTGACGTGTTTAAAAATATACTTTTTATTCCTTGTTATCATGTGAGAGTGAAAATAAAGATGGATGACATGATTGGAATTCTAAATAAATGAAAACATACTCCTTTTTTGTTTGCAATTTATTTTGTAAAATAATACAGGGAAATGTAATCACAATGCAGTCTAGATATCAAAGTGTCAGCACTGACTTTCAAAACCCATATGTTTGTACATCTCTTTATCGATTGCAGTATTTTCAATGTAAAACATGTTTTTGCTGTGAAACCACAGATTCTCCGTGGAGTCCCAGAATTGACATCTCAGGTGAACTGAAGGAGAAGGAGTCTGTCACTATCAGCTGCTCAGCTTTCACTCCCTGTCCACACTCCCCTCCTCAACTCACCTGGAATCTCCAACAAGACTCCCACAACCAAATAGAGGAAAACACAGACGGAACCTTTACAAATAAAATCCAGCAGAGCATCACTCTGTCAGACACACATGATGGATACAACATCAGCTGCTCTGCCACATATCCTGTGGATGAAGGAAAACAGGGAAAGACAGCAGAGACACAAGAGACTCTCCATGTTTCATGTCAGTGAACCTGTCTGCACATACTGATTTGTTGTTTCTGGTTTATTCAGCCTCTGATTCATCTTTCATGTTGTCCATTTTGTCCCATTTTCCTCAGATGCCCCCAAAGAAACGTCAGCATCCATCAGTCCATCAGGTTTGGTGTCAGCAGGTAGCTGGGTGAACCTGACCTGCTCCAGCAGAGCCAATCCTCCTCTCATCAACTTCACCTGGTTCATAAAAACCACAGACGGATCCATGGAAGTAGCCAAAGGAAACTTTTATAGGTTTAATGTCACTGGTAAAGGACTTTATTACTGTGAGGCCACAAATATTGTTGGTAATCAGATGTCAGCTGAGATTCCTCTCACTGTTGAAAGTAAATATAGTCTTGTTTATTTTTTTAATTAATCTGCTAATATAATTGTTTAATGCTATGTGTTTTTTTGTTTTTTGCTTTACCTGTAGAGACACAAACGACTCAGTGTTAAGTGTAAGACTTAATTTGTTTCATGACGATGGTAGATTGTACTTTATCCATCAAAAGGTTTTAAGATACCAACAAAAGTGTGTTTGATCACAACCTGATTTCTGATTTTCTGAATAGGTAAAAAAAACAAAAAAAAAAACTCTTCCTCATTGTTATGTTTGTATGGTGGTGTCGAGAGAGTCTTTGTATTTTACTATGAAATATTCGTCTTTCTCTCACTTTATGTATTTTCTTTTTTATCACTGTAAAATCCATCCCAGATCCTCCCAGTGACACTTCACTGCTGATCAGCCCCACTGATCCGGTGTCAGTCGGCAACGAGGTGAATCTAACCTGCTCTTGCAGAACCAACTCTCCTGTTAACAACTTCATCTGGATAATGATGACCAATGATGGCAGACTGGAAATGATCAAAGCTGACACAAAGGTTTATGGCTTTCAAGTGACCAGCAAGGATCGAGACAGATCTGGGCAACCAGCTGTCAAGGGGACATCAGTTGATATTTGAAGGCAGGCAAAGACATGGTAGTTCAGGATGTTTGTGATGAGGTCTTTTTCCATCAACTACAGCTGTGCTGTTGTGTTGCAGGTGATGAACAGTCCGGGACACTGGTTGGCATCCAAGTCATAGTGAAGACATTGGGAATCTTATTGCTGGTCAACACACTGATCCTCTTTGAGTGGTGAGAGAACCGTTTCTGTGATGTGCTGATTAGCAACAACAGATTGATTTTAAATATGTTTTGGCTGAATGAGGTAGATGATTTTTCAGAGCATAAACAAAACAAAACTCACTTCGCTCTGTTTTGCTTCTACCTTGTTTTTCCTTTCAGTTTCTTCAGATCAAGATGCTCCAACAAACCAGTGGCAGTAAACTGTGAGATGAGCAGCGTTGCATCTTTACATCATTAAGAAGTAAAGTGTCTGCAAGTCCGAGGAGGAAGTAAAAACCCAGAAAATATCATTTAATTTGCTGTAGCTCTTAAGAATCAGTTACAAAGAAGCAAAAGTATCTAATGTCCGATGGTCATGTAAATATGCCATTTTTTTGCTAACATTTTTGCTGTAACAACTTCATTCAGTGACTCACACTGGAACACAAAAAAATGATGCGATGAGGGTGATGTTTGAGGGTCTAAATCTGGTCTATAATGTTCTCTAATGTTTGTGTTGCGAGAATGAACACAACTGTAGCATAAGTGACCGTAAGTGCTGCACAAATTGCATCAACTGGTAAATAATCTTATACATCACCTTTTAACCTAATCAAGGCTCTACAAAGTCTTTTACGGTGTGTTTCTCATTAACCCACCTACATACACAGTTGGAGCTGCCATGCAGGGTGTTCATCTGCCATCAGGAACAAGAGGTGCATCATTTTGACCACTGACTCTTTGGCACGTAAAAGGACCAACAGTCAAACATGGGGTTAGTGGAAAACCTGTGGTACTTCTTGAGCCTTAACCACTCATCACATGTAGCAACTCTTCAGTAAAGCCCCCAGTTTGGAGCTTTTCTGCTGCAGTAAATGCAGTTCTGGGCACAGTCCCGGTGTTGTTTCCTTTCCAAAGATTATAGTACATTCACAAAGTATTCAGATCCCTTCACATGTTACAGCCTCATGTAAAAAAAAATTGTTTCATATTCCATAATGACAAAGTAAAAACCAAATATTGGAAAATTTGGAAGTTTGGCTAAGTCTTAGGTCCTGAGCGCAATAGTGCAGATTTTCATTAAGGACACCTCAATACCTCTTACTCTGTTCAGCTTTCCCTTCATCCCTGAACAGTGTTCCTGGTAAAACAGCTGAAAAACACCTCTGCAGTATGATACTGCCACCACCATGCTTTACTGTTTGGATGGTATCCTGAAGGTGATGAGAGGTGCCTGATTCCTCCAGACACGAATGCTGAGAACTGAGGTCAAGTGGTAAAATCATTTTTTTCATCAGACTAAAAAAATCTTGTTTCTGACAGTCTGAGAGCTCTTTAGGTGCTTGTTTGCAACTCCAAGTGGGCTTTCATGTATATTTTACTGAGAATCTTCTGTCTGCCATAAAACCCAGATCAGAGGAGAGCTGCTGTAATGGCACACAGGCACATCTCCACACAGGATGTCTGGAGCTCAGTCACATTGACTATCAAGTTCTTGGCCACCTCTTTCACTGAGGCCTTTTATCCCAGTTGCACAGTTTGGCGAGGCAGTCAGCTCTTGGAAGAGTCCTGCTTGTTTCAAACTTCTAGCATTTAAGAAATACAGAGATCATTGTGGTCTTGGGAATCTTCAATGCAACCGATTTTTTTTGTACCCTTCCCCAGAACTGTGCACACAATCCTGTCTTTGAGCTCTGCAGGCAGTTGCTTCCACCTTATGGCTTGGGTTTTGAACTGATTTGCATAGACAGCTGTGAGACCTTATATTGTCAGGTGTGTGCCTTTCCAAATCATGTTCAGTCATTTCAATTTACAACAGGTGGACTCCAATTAAATAAGAAGCATCTTAAAGACAAAAGAAATGAGAGCGAGCTGAGCTAAATTTCAAGCAAAAGGTCTGAATATTTATGTCAGTGTGGTACTGTAGGCTTTACCTTTTTTTAGCATTTGTAATATCTTTATATATTCTGTTTTCATTTTGACCGTGTGTGATACTCAGTGCAGGATGACAAGGGAGTGAAGTTTCTTCATCGTCATTAGGAGCCACAAGAAGAAGGGAAGGATGTCAATGTAATTAGAACAACATGTTGTGTTTTTTTTTGTTTTTTTTTTGTCTATTCACTGTCTTGTCTTTGTTTACTTGTTAAAATGTTATTGTTCAAAATTGCGCTGTATTGTCATCCTGCACTGCACTATAATCACAATAAAGCTTCTAATTCTAATTCTGAGAAGAAAGCTGAGGTTTTTCTACCAATCGGTAAATGCTAGATGAGATGATGGTTTTTAGAGATAACCTCTGACCAACCTCAATGAACATCATCTAATTCTTGTCAGCTTTGTGTCAGTTAATTAAAGTAATCTTAACACAAAAATAAAACCGTCTTACATTTCGTTTCCTATTGCACGAGCCAGTATTTGTCACCACAACTGGTGTCCTTTTTAATGATTAGACGATGTCAGTAATTTCTTAACTTCCTTTTCTTTCTTAACCAGCTTCTTCACCAGTGGCAACTGGTTAATACTGGGCACAGGGGTGCCGCCCCCACTGCTAATGACCAGATAAAAAGTAGTTCTCAAACACAATATTAAATTTGAATTATTATAACAAAATAATAATAAAATTCATATTCTTTTGCTATATTAACAATGTTTGTATTATTAACAGATTTAGAATTATTCTTTACTTTGTGTTTATTAATGTTACACTTCCTCTATGGGGGCATTATTGTAGCAAAACTATTTGTCCATGTGTATGGAGAGTTGTCTGTCTGTGTCTCAATCCGAAGTGAGATTTGTCAATGTTTAAAAGAAGTTTTCAATATGAACCAGAATCTACAAAAGTCGTCTCACAATTTGTCTGTCTGTAATCAGGTTTTCAAATGTGTAAAAAAATCTGTTCATCTGTATTAACATACGGACATATAATAAGAGTTGTCAATGCGTACAGAGGTATTTGTAGTTGAAAAGTCTACGTATTCGAGTCGAGGAGCTTCCCCATTGGCTGTCTTTTCACACATGACTTTTGCTACACTTCTACCATGAGAGATCTGAAACTGAAGAGTATCTGAAAATCAGGGTTTCTGTGTCTTGAGCTCTGGCTCACAGGATCATTCATTGTGGCTGCTACCGCTCTGCTGCCCTGTACCTCAGTAGTTACGCCGCCTGCAAGCTATCATGAAAGAGTTTGCTCAGTGACCCATAAACTCAGCTTGTTCACATATACCTGTAATATTATATTTTTAGAAGGCTCAGCAGTTGCCTCCCTAATTATACAAACTGCAAAAAGCATTAACATGTACTCAGTGAGGGCTGTAGGGTGGCGCAGTTGGTAGCACTGTTGCCTCGCAGCAAGAAGGTTGCCGGTTCGCGTCCCGGTGGGGGCACCGGAATCTTTCTGCGTGGAGTTTGCATGTTCTCCCCGTGCAGCGTGGGTTCTCTCCGGGTTCTCCGGCTTCCTCCCACAAGGTCCAAAAACATGTTGAGGTTAATTGGTGATTCTAAATTGTCCGTAGGTGTGAATGTGAGTGTGCTTGGTTGTCTGTCTCTAAGTGTAGCCCTGCGATGGACTGGCGACCTGTCCAGGGTGTCCCCTGCCTTCGCCCTAAGTCGGCTGGGATAGGCTCCAGCGCCCCGCGACCCTAATGAGGATTAAGCGGTGTATAGAAAATGGATGGATGGATGGATGTACTCAGTGTGTGATCGTTGTCTACACCCTGCCTCACAATGTCGTGCACGCTCAAAGACTCTGATGCATAACGCTGCCTGATGGCTTGCAGTTCTTCAATTCTACAATTTCATTTAGCAGACCTTCGTTTGACAGACTGAAAAAAAAAACAACAAACAAACAAACAAAACAAAAATAAAATTCCTATTACCTCCCTACAGCCTGCTATTGGCATCAACACCCTATCACAATTGAACTTGTTCTATGGCAGTTATCCAGATTGTTTTCTCCTGACCAGATCCTTGCTTGTGTTGTATCTGCTCTCAGATGTACGTCGCTTTGGATAAAAGGGTCTGCTAAATTCTAAAAATTCTCACCAGCCGCCACTGTCCTCCACTAGATGCCTACATTCAATGTATTTAATGACATTCAAATGCAATTTTTAAGGAGACAAGGAAAAACATGAGAGAACTTTGGGTTCACAGGAGGTCAGCAATTTGCTGCACTTGGTCATCATTTGTGTTTGCTTAGATGCAGCTGTGACAGATATTTATTCCATTTATTCCATTCCGGATAAGTTTAATCATACTGGCTCAAAATGAGTCAAGTTTCACCAAGAAGTCTTTGATGTGAGGAAGCAAGCTGAAGAGTTCACGATGCCATAACATCTGACTTCTTCTGTTAGTTCCTTTGCTCCTTTAGTATTAGTAGGAAGGGCAACAGTGACGCTATTTCTGTATTTTAGTCATCAGGGTCATGTGACATCTGACAGCTATGAAACCAAAAAAAAAAAGACTTTACTTCACTTTCTTTAACAGTAAGTCCTCTTTCTATTCTTTCTTCTTGCAATCATTTTACAACAGCTGGGTTACGTGGTTCACTGCACTTTTGTTCAAAATCACTTCATTGTAAAACCCTAAAACTTCCTGTGAACTCGTTTGGTAAGGAAAACTTTTACCACTTCTATTTCTTAGTTTCCTCTTTTCATTTTGTCATTCTTGGTGCGCTGCACTGCCAGATGCATTATGTATTTGTAATTGTCAGTTGCTTAGTTTTACTTCATCGGACAAAAAACTATCAAAAACAAAACATGAACTGATAAACTGTTGTGAAGCTGAAGTTTTTATATTTCATCTCATTTTAAAGCACAGTGATAGTGAGAATCACTCTGACTGCACAGGGCGAGTTTCTAGTAAATCTGTATGAGGGAAGTTGCTTGAAAAGACACTAAATACTAAACTTCACAAGTGAAATAGTTAAACAGATGTTTTTTTGTCTTCTTCTTCAGGGGAATAAATTTGTGTCTGTGAATATGGAGATGGTCATCATGTTCCTGATTTTTCTCCTTGTTTCAGGTGAGCTGTTTGCTT